TTTCTTGCATCGTCTCAACAGCAACAGGCAATTTCTGTATGCTGTGATAATCTTATCAGCATTTACAGTTATTTTGACGATCGGATTTGCTTGTTTGTTAATTGCATTTCTGCATCAAAAACATCGATTAAACCTATCCACGTCAAAGCAATCCTTACATCCGCAACAATCAAATATCACATGTCCGCTGCGTGCGTGTGAAGATGATATAAGGTTTTATTATTTTTCCAAACAATTATTTCACTCATTTATATTTTGAAATTATCATTTCCTTTCTGATAATTTCAGATATGATACACCATGGGAGCAAACACAATTGCCAACAATGTATCGACGATCGCCGTATCGAAATTTTAACAATAAAAATGATTTCACAGCAATGTCACCTTCATTATTGGGTCCAATAGCAGATGTTATGGCATTAGCTCAATCAGATTATCAAAAAACCTCACCGAGTTCTTCATTTGGTACCGAACTTCATGACAGCGGTTTAGAATCTGTTTAATATTCTGTCTAATTTTCATCCATTCAATAACTGATATTCTTTCAGTGATATTATCATTCGATGCAATGCTATTGTAAAATTATTATCTGAAATTTCTTTCGTTTGAGATGATAAATTGAGAAAAAATTAAATCATAAATTTTAATCTAAAACTTTTATAGTAACAAAAAAAAGATGCAAATTGTCAATTTTTTCGTTTCATTTTTAATACATTATTTTTATGTAAAATTATTGTTTCTAAACATTTGACAAATATTTGTTAGGAGATGTTTGTGGGAAAAATTATTTCTTTTCATGCCAGTTATTCAGTATTAAAATTTTTGTCCATTATGTATTTATATCTGATTCATACAAGATGTTTTATTCATTATTTTATCCTCTAATTAGTTAGTTCCAAGCAGTCATTAATCAACTTTCAAGAAAAAATTTTTTTTTCTTCTCTTACATGTTAATTTTTTCTTTGAATTTTATTTCATTAGTTTCAACTTTTCCCTTTTTGTTGGTGTTGTTCGAAAAAAATAAAAATTAAACTTTTTTTACTTTGCCATATTCCAATGCAAAAAATGTTTAACGAATTCGAAAAGCGATAAATTTCAGAAACAATTTAAAAGTTTTGATATGATAAGAGCAATGTTAATCCCAGAGAAATGACAAAATTTCTGAAGGAATTAAATTCATACTAAATTTACAAGCAAAATGAAACTTCACACTTTAACTTTTTTTTGAAATGCAAAATTATTTTAAAACTGTTACTCGATAACATTCGAGTGAAAATCAGTTAATATTGACTTTGTATTCAATTACAAATGATGTTTATCATGTAGAATTAACAGCGAAGAGAGAATACTTTAAAAAAATTTCAGTCGTGAATTTAATTTATTTACTATTAACAATATCAGTTTTCATTTAGGTGTCATTACTAATATTTGCAAAATTTTTTTCTTCATCACATAACTCTTAAGTAGGTGTTATTTTTGTCGACAATATGATAATATATTTGAAAATGTATGGAATCATTAATTCATTATCATAACAATTATCTTTATATCAATCAGTTGCGTTTATTAGTATCTTTCATTTTGAGTTTAATTCTTGCAAATTTTAATTAACATATGATATATATGAATAGTGTGACATGACGAAAATCATCAAATTAAACAGAAACAAAATATTTCTATTCTTTTTTTAGCCAAAAAAATTTTTTTACTACGATTTACGATTAACATTTGATTTATGAAATCGTTTAAAAATACATTACATCAATCTTTTAGTTTATTTCACATTTACATAAGTTCTGGTGATAATCATAGCATAAAGGAAGATAAGAGTGCATTGATATTGTCAAAAGTGTGTAAAATTAATTGCTTCCAATGACCTCACATCGCATATATAATTTATTTCATAAAATTCATTATGCAGTATTCACTTTTATTTTGTTTCAAATTTTGAACTTTATCTTCACTCTTAATTATATGTATGTATAATATTATGTAACTGAAATAAACTGATTAATAAAAAAAGAAAGTAAGTTTTTGATGCTGAAAAGATCGATATACTATTATGGAAAATTTTTTCAAATAGAGAATTGTATTTTTTAAAATTTGAACAATCTGTAGAGGTAAAAGAAAACATTTGGTACGATGATATCATTTTGTTACATCGTTATTTTAAAAAGTAAAATTTACACATATCCTTCTAAATATCCCACATATTGAGCTTTCTTATTGATGATATCATCAATTTATCATTTTATCTAAGCGCTCTTATAGTCAGTTACTTCAATCCCTTCTAGCATTTTACAGTTTATTGTAATTTTCAAATCTCAAAATTCAATTTCGTACAAAAAAAAGAAATTAAAGTATCATTATGCGCTAATTTTATCAATTTAATTTATTAATGTATAATCATAAAGAATTGATAGTGGTGATTCAGCAGAAATACATAAAAAGAAAAAAAAATGGACCGCTTATGGATCTATTCGAAACCTTCCCTTATGCGTTGACCGTTCATTCATGAATTATTCATTAATAAATAATTTATGTTTAATTAAAAATTTAAATCTTTCAATTGCACTTTTTGTTTTATTTTTCTTTTTAGTTTTAAATGAAAACAGAAAGATTAGCAATATTAAAACAAATATTTGAAATAATATGGGAAATTTTCGTTTTGGTATGCCTATGCATATCAAAACGAATCAATAATGAAATATTAAGTTTGTTTGAATATTAAGTATGTTTGAATGTGTGCGTGTGTACGTGTGTGTATGTGTGTATGCATGTGTGTGCATGTTTGGATTAGCTTTTAGGTCAAAATTTTACGACCTAAGAAAATTTTTCCAATAAAATGAAATTTATTGAAATTCAGTGAGCATATTTGGCTAAACTGAATGGAAGATCGAGTTCAAATGAGGGATTTTATGAAATAAAAACATACAAATGTGGTTCCTTTATCATGTAAATAGATCTGAGTGGTAGGCCAAACTGCTTTATTTGCCACGTTTGGGAATTATTGGCCGTGAATGCAATCTTCAAAATATGGCAAAATTCAATTATTCCAATAGCGATTTATCCAGCTGATAATTTACTTGAACTTTATTTATTATATCTATTTCAAATTGTTTCTCTCCATAGTTATTTACAAAATTTAATTCCTTAATTGAAATTTAATTGCATATTTTGCTGATTTATTAGTTTGTTTACACGTCTTTTTACTGATTTATTTTATCTCTTAAATATTTTTTATTTTTTAATATTAAAGTGATAAATTTATTGAATTCAAAAAAACAATATCTACAATTGTATAAATGTTATTTAGAATTTTACACTCAGGTATAATTCATGCTCAGTAATATTTCATTGATTTATTCAAATTTACCTAATGATAATGTTGTACCTTGAAAAAAATTGAATGATTTTGCGTTTAATTTAATTCTCGGTTATGCTTTAGTGTGTTTGATTATTTGAGGATTTGATTGTGCAAAAAATTGTTCCTTGAAAATTGATAATCCCTATCAGTAACAGTTAAATATGAATGTTAAGATTTCAGCACACAGAAATTCGATTTCATTTTCAGATATTAAAATTTTTTTTTGTTGATATGATGAAAATGATACATTACACATTTTTCACCCATAAAAGGTAAAAATATGAAATTGCTTACCATTTTTATTTACAAATATTAACTTATGCAAAATGCGAGTAGCGAATAGTGCAAAATTATCCTCTCGCAGTTAACAATCCATTCAAATATGTAATGTATCATTTTGCATTATACTGACAACGGTCTCATTTGTAAATTTTATTTGCTTTTTAAAAACTCAAATTTAAAATGGAATGAAACGATTTTTTGTCACTATTTTGTTTAATTAAAATAAGCTGATTTCTATGTTATTTAAGATAGCAAGCTAAATTTATTTACTTGAATCTTAGTTACTTCTATTTTATTTGCTTTAAAAGTCATGCTATCTTTGTAATAATTATGATGTGAAATTTTTATTTAAAATAAAACAGGTTCAATTTTATTCGTTGAAAGAGAATATGACGCTATGGGTGGTATGATAATCATTATTTCGTATGAATTCATTGCTAAAATTACATATTGTCTGCTAAAAAAGATGTATTTCAGCATGTCCAAACTGATATTAAAATAATGAAAACATTGGATGCAAACGATTAAAATCGAAATAAATGGTTGGTAACAAAGGAACCAATGTTCCATTTTGATATAACAAATCGGAAACAAAACATTCTGTGTTTGGCACCATATGGTTTTGCATTCAGTTGTTTCGCCTTTTCATTTATGATGCTTAGATGTTTTTAAATGCTGAAATTTCTTTCTTATAACCTTTGAAAAAAAATCTTATAAGTTTAAAAATTTTTCTATTTTTAAGCTTTCAAGCTAAGATTTGAAAAAAAAAATTCTTCTTCTTAGATAGATTTTAAAGCAAAACTAAATAGCAATAATCAGTGACTTTGCAATTGAAGTTAAATTTTTAAATTTATCAAATATTTGTAAAATCAAATGAATGATTTATCCTATTGGGAAGCTTTTTTCTTCTTTTTTTTCTACTTTATTCCTGAGAAGTCTCACATCGTATCATTTTAAATGGGGAAAAGAAAAAATTATTTGTAATGATCATATCACATTTGCAATGTTGCGCTCCAATTATTGGTAATAATCTACTGAAATATTTCTTTCATTCAAGTGTTCTCTTTTTGAATAATTTAGTCATAAAAATATCGATCATTTCGATTGATGCAATTTCTAATTTATTACTTTGCGATCATTAGATGCCAATTTTTACTGCATTAGTAAAATAATACTGCCATGACCATTTTGCGCCCAACAAAATGCTATGACAATTTCGATAACTATCAGAACTGATTAATTCCACAAAAAAGACAAAAAATAGATATTTTCTCACAGTTGCACCTGGACAAATGCTTCGTTTTTTTTTTTTTTTGCTTTTTTTTACAATCACAACATTACTGTTACAAAAAGTACCGAAGAAAAAATATTTTCCATCGTGATATTTAAATTATTTCTATTCATATAAACTACCGTAGCTTTTTTCACTAATTTTACAACTTCCATAAAATATTTTTTCCTAAACGAAACAATCAAATCTTTGTTCGATTAATCTTTTTTCCTTTTTTTAGTGCATATCTTTCAAAAAAAAAAAAAATTTCGTTTATTGAGTACAAATATTTTGAAGTTATTTAAAATTTTCAGGATTAATGATACAAATGGCATCCTGTGTGGTGAAATAGAAGAATGTTTATCAGTGTATCAGACTGGCTGTTAACAGTGCTGTACATTATACTGACCCTGGCATCTGTTATTCATTCCGGTTGTTATCAGAAGCATTTATGCTGTTTAGGACATAACTTCACCTGTATCGCAACAGACGATACAATTGATCAGCTGCCTGTAAAATTTCATCAACGACGATTGAAGAAAGCTCGAAGAGGCAAATGGCAGCATCCTACTGTTTATAGCAGAAAAATGAAACGAACTGATAAATTGATGTTACGGGATTTGATTGCTTTAAATGATAGCACAAAAGTTGAAACAATCAACAATAATAATGGTCAATTTGCTTGTATTCATGAAGCATTATTAAAATTCCTTTTTAATGAAATGATAAAAGCCGTTATTTTTGTCATTATGAATGAAATGGAAATTAAATGTGCTTTTTGAATACAAAATATTCTTGTGATGGAATTTTACAGCAGAAAGTGATCGAATAGGCAGATCATTGATTTCATGAAATCATTAATTTGATTTGATTTGATTTTGATCATTGATTTATATGATTTCATGAAATGAAAGTGATCGAATAAGCAGATCATTGTGCATACAATACAACAATAATACATGATCCAAATTTTTCTTCGTACTAATTTCAATTTATTTTAATAGGCTTTAATTTTTTTAAAACAATAAATTATATCCTGAATATATAAATATTTTTATAATATATTATATTTCAGATTACAATCAATCCGAGGATTATTTGCATAAACAAAGCGAACCATCTCAAGCAATAAAATTTCCTCGTAGTACCGCGATATTACCATTTTTCCGTTATCAGCTCATTTTCGGTCAGCCATTTTATCCAAAGGAACAGCAACCGGAAACAACACGTTATCATCAGCGTCACAAACTTATTCGGTATTTACCTTCTAACGTAATTGTTAACTGAATATTTAATTTAACATGTTTCAATTACTACAGGATTATTTTTAGAGACAGTTTGAAAAACTATCATCGAAGAAAATAATTTGTAAAAAACTATTTTCTTAGGAAATTTTTTTTTTGAAATTTAAATCATAACGATAGAAATATTATGTAATGCTAATTATGAAGATGATATTTCTTTATCTAACATTAATTATAATTTTTTTTAATACCGTTAAAAGTTCATTTTTACAATTTTTTTATGCTTTGAATACTCCGAGCAAAATAAATAAATAAACGAGTAAAAAGGAAAAGAAAATGATTAAAAGTGATAAGTTAAATTTCAGGTATTTATTGTTGAATCGACATATGCCATTAACAATAAAGAATTCACGAGGTACGGAATTATCAAATGATGCAACAAAGTTAGCAATTCTGGCAGATACCGATCATTTATGCTATTGTGATGAGAAATGTGTGGCATTTGAGGATTGTTGTTCCGACTATTCTTTTGCTTGTCCACGTATGTTCCTTTTACATTTTCAAATTTCAAATTGGTCCAAATGTTTTTGGTATGAGAATATTATGAGTGGTAATGGTTAGTAATAGTTTGAAGTTTGCAAATTATGCTGCTCTTTTTGCAATTTATGATTATGATTCATTTTTGAAATAATTATAAAGATCAAAATTAGCTTTTTTAGTATTTTATAAAATATCAAATTTGAGGACAGATTAATGAGAATTTTATAAAATATTTGAAAATTACAGCGTCTGATTGTATTGTTAGCGAATGGTCAGTTTGGTCCAGTTGTATTCCGGATCAGGGAAGTTGTAAGGCAGGTGTGCAAACTCGTGAACGTAGCATTGACAGAAAACCGGAACATGGTGGAATGGAATGTCCATCATTGATTGAAAAAAAGAGTTGCTTCAAAGAATGTCCACAACTTTGGAAACGTGATCAACCAGGTATGTTTTGACAAGAAATTTTTGAAAGCAAAAAAAGAGTTTATATTTTACAAAACGAATTTCTTAAAAAGTAAATTAAAATTCCTCTTTTGCACTGTCAAGAAGAAATTATTATCAGACAGGTTGTCTTCACTGATACATTTGTTAAAAGCAATATCCTAAAATTCTTTCCCATACGGTGAAATAAATTATTTTTCTTTAAATTCAGTCTTTTTTTTTAATTTCTAATTTTTTAAAAAAATTATTTGATTTTTGCAAAATTTTTAAATGAGTTATTTAGAAATTACGTCCGTAGCACTCATTCTGGATTATTTATACAACAAAACACGAGAAACATTCAGTCATGACAATATTTTCGATGATGCAACTGATAACAGAAGCAAATTGCTTTAGTTAGTTTCTTTCCATTCTTGAAATTCTTAGATGTTAAGCATTGGCGTTTTTGTCTTCTTGATTTATTAAACTTCTGCTTGTATTAATTTCAATATTTTAAAAGTATCCTTAAAATATTTCAACTGTATTATCAGGAAGTATTTAATAAAATTATGATTAAATTCGCTTAGGTTAGAATAACAAATGATCGTTAATAACAATCGTACATTATTTCTTTTCTCTTTCGTGAAGGGAATTTTTTTTGAAGAAAACAAAAAAAAATAAAATGTTAATTTTTTGTTTAATATATTGAACTTTAACCTATTTTGTGTGATTATTTAGCTACTGTGGAATTTATGAATTGGGCTGGGTGAATTGGAATTGTATTGATAAGAAAATTACCATCAAACTTTATACGGACAATAAAATTTGCGTGGAATGTCAGCCAGAAGTACAAATGAATAGCAATACTAATACGTTAGTTACTTTCTTCAACTGTAATAATTCTTGGCTCACTTTATATTTTGTATTGTTCAAAAATATTTAGTCAGAAGGTCTAGGCTAAGATGTGCTCTAGTACGGCGCTTGAAATATTGAATTGGAAGAAATTAACTTTGCAAATATTTCCGCTATTACAGATGCACATCTGATCCAAATGATGGAGAAAATGGATTCTGGAAATTGATCGGACCAAAATCATGTTATGGTACTTGGAAGCGGTTATTCAAAAAGGATAATTGTCGTTGTGAAATAAATTTTCCGACGCATGATGCATTTTTGTTTGTTTAAAATTAGTAACTGTAGCAATTATAATTTAATAAAGTTAATGTGAAATTTAAACGCTTGGAAATTTGAAATTATAATTTATAAATTAAGGTATAAAAAAAATAAAGCAATTTTTCACAGCTTTTAAGATAACTTTAATTTGAAAAAAAACTGCACGATTTTTTTTATCATAATAATGAATTCTTTTAAAGTAGCAATTTTGAGTTTCCACTGCGCATTGCTTAACATTTTTTTTTGCTTTTCATCTCAACCACTGCTTAAATTTCAATTTAAATTGTGGCTAATCTTAATGAATTTTTTTGATGAATATTAAATCCAAATTCTTAAACTTGTGACAAAATTTAATAGTAAAATTTATAATTAATTCTTCGAATTCAATATTACTACATTCTTATTGAATGATCAAAGAAGATGAAAAGTTTTTTAATAATGCTTTTGTGATTATTTGCAACGATCGATTGTTAAATCATTTTCTGATATATCCCGGTCTCATGGTAATTATAAAAATATTTAAGTTGACTTTTCAGGTTTTGCAATATTTCATTAGCGTAATAAATAGAAAACTTTCAAAAGAAAAAAATATTCCAACATCAGCCAGATAACAGGGAATTTTTCAACAAAATTTAGCAGAATGAATGTATCACATATAGTGCAGAGATTTTTATTGATTTTAAAGCGAGACTATTGTGAACAGTTTTTGTAGGATTCTTTGAGGGAGAGTTTTGATTTGGCTCAGTGGAATTGTTTGATGAAAGTACTATTAGAGTGATTTATTCTAATTTTTAAAATTTATAGAGATGATTTGGAATTTTGTACTGATCGATCCAAGATGATGATTTAGAATTTTGTACTGATTGATCCAAAATAATGATTTAGAATTTTATACCGGTTGATCCAAGATGATTTAAGACTGTTACTGATAGAATATGTCGGCAGTGAGTGCTTGTATTGCATGCTGGGAAATAAAATTTCTAATGATTAATGATATTGGAGGATGGAAGAAAATGATTATGATGTTAAAGAAGCGGAAAGAGATAAAGTAGGCTTGATGAATTAAATATTAGCCAGGAATGCAGAGATCTTTCCGACCTGATATTTAATCAAGTCTATAAAGATTGCCATGCTAAAGTCTATAAACCTTTGTTAAAGTAGTTAGCGAAAATAGATAATACGGTGATAGCATGGACGGATTGAATTGCCATAATAAACATATTTTGTGGCAGTTTTATTTACCAAATTATCAAATTTTCTATTAAAACTGCTATTGAACCTGAAATTTGAACATTTTCAAATGGAACTGAGTTACAAAAGTTGTTTTGAGTGGATTAACTCACATTCACGTAGTATTTGAGAGATTATATGTTTCTTTCAAGGAGTAGCGGTTTTCAGTGAGTATTCAAATTGGTTAATTAAATAATCAATTATCTAATTGAAAAAATTAATGATAATCATTTGCGATATTAAACAAAAGAATAAATAGATCATATTTTATCATTTGACAAGAATTTGTGGCAAAATAATTTCTTTCAAATAAGTATCAATCTTTAATCATGTAAATTTTTCTGTATTATAAAGTTATTTCGAAATTCCGACAAAGACAATTCTGATCGATTTGATTAATTTTAAAGTGTCTTTAACGAATAGAAAGAAATAAGAGCATTATAAAATAGTGAACGGGAATGAAAATTTTGAAAGTTTTTATGATTGGAAATTTTAAAAAAAGCAATTTTAATGATTGGAAACTCATCGTTGCTTTCATTAGTTAAAAAGATGATAATTAATTGTTTAATTTTATCGTTGTCTATTACAGGTAAATTTGTATTTTGATAATTCATTTACATGCTGATGCAATATGACACCTCGTCAACATTTATCAAATTCATTCTTTCACTCTTTTCATTCGTAACCTCTGAACTCATCACTATTACATTTATATCTGAGAGAAGGCTTAGAGAAGATATCATGTAGACAGAATATAGGAATAATCATTATTTTTAGATACCGTCAAATCTCTTATTTATTTTAGAAATGAATAATTGGATGCAATGAAAATTTTCAAATTAACCAATACTTTTTTGACTGCCATCAAACCTATTTATTAAAAAATAAAATTTATTGGTTTATTTTGACTTTATTAATTCCTTCTTTGGATTATCAGGAAACTAATCGGATTATCAGTTAATTTCTTCAGATTATTAGAATTATAGCATAGCGGAAATATATTCTTAAAAGTTAATGGAAGTTCAATAAATAGCTGATAGAAAAATAAGAAATCAGAATGCAAATAATTGATTACATCCATACGGATACAAACTACTGATATCTTATCTATCCTCTCTGATATCACATCCATTCTTCGTTGTACAGCAAAAAGATTCAGTGATAACTATTATCGAAGTATTAACAATTATGCTTTGTATTATATTCAAATATGAGATATTGAAAACTTTTTAAGAAAGTTGCAAATTTCCTAATTGTGATAATAATTTCATTAATTAAAGCAAAACTTAAAAATTTTTGATTAAAAATTTAAAAATAACTGCAAAGTTAATCGAATACCTTTTTTTCTGGTTGTGAAATGAATTTTGTCGCATTAGTTTTGCACTTTACCAGCGATGATTTAGCAACGGCAATAAACATTTCAAGTCAGACATTGAGCAAATTAAATTCAAATATCTTTTTCACAATCAATTTTTTCCTTCTTTCAACATTTTTTTTTGTGTAAAATGATTATTAAATTCATCAATAATTTTTAGTCATTGAAAATATGATTGAAGGAAATCCAATTGAATTATATTCAGCAAAGTTAATGGTTGCAGTTTAAAAAATTATGATATTAAATTAAATTAATGCTTAAACATGTAACGGTTAATCTTTAGGACATGACGAGGTTATACTGAGAAATGATGAATAAAAAGAAAAGAATAAAGTAATTTAGTTTGAAAAATTACTTTATTTTTTATTGCCCTTTAAAAAATTTCATAAGACGTGTTTTTGTTGATCCGACAGAGATGAAAGAAAAAATTTCCGAAATTAGCCCATATAGATGAATTTTGTTTTTCATTGAAAAATCCAAGTGACGTTACATTAAACTATCACTGACCTTTTACATTTCAATTATCCGTAATCTGTTCGAGAATAACGACTGTGAACATTCATCGAAATTTTTCGGAGTGAAAGAATTTATTTTCCGTAACGATTCTTAATTGGCTTTATTTCTGTAAAAAATATTTAAACGAACTATACTTATCAATAGTGATGGATAAAAAGATAGGTTATGGAAAAGGAAATTACTAAATGACTAAGAAAAAATTGAAAATAAATTGAAAAACATAAACGGGTAAAGAATTAAATAATCAATAGTACGAACTTATATCAATTTCAAGTTCGCTTTCACATATTATCTTTCAGCTATCAATGAAATATAGACAATGGAATGTTTGCAAAAATACTGATCGATAAGAAGCATATCTAAGTTTGAGCAACAGATCACTTAGAAATATAATTGACCGTTAGAATTAAATTCAAAAACAAAAGACAAGTTCCAATTCAAATTCAAAAATAACGTGTCATTTTTAATGTTTGAAATTAATTAGAAGATATATTTGGTTAGCAAGAAATTTCTCGAAAGGTTTTTAATTTTGAAAAAAGAAATCCTCATAAATTTTGATGATAATAATATTTATTAAAATAAATGGAAAAATTGTTATATTATAATTAGCAGTCAATAAAATTAAAAAAAGTGACTTCTCTTTTAGATATAATGAATGTTTCTTACGTGGAAAACGAGAAACGTATGACTAAAATAGACATTTCCATTTTTAATTCAAATATTGATAAGTCAAAATTATCGATAACTGTTACAGTAAGTTTCTTATATTGTGATATTCATTTAAGTTTTTCCGAAAACTTATTAGCGAAGAATGAAAAGGAAAAAGCTATGAATTAATTGTGCTTTATGCGGAAAGAATACTTTCAAAAATCAGCAACATAAATAAATTAATACTTTCATCTATTAGCAACTATTGGGAAATATTCACATTGCAAGCAATAAAAATTTAAAATAGCTAATTATTTAAAAAGTCTAATTTTTAAATGTTGCAACGAATGAGCATTATTGGGTAAGGTGGTTTATTACTGTATTTAAAGAGTTACGGTATGACCCTCTTCTGCTTGTGTTAACAACCGGTTGTAAAAAATTTATTTAGTAATATGCCAGAACAATTTTCTCACTAATATACAGTTCTGGTGGATAAAACATTGACCTCAGTCACCCCTTCCATATATTCCTCTAACATCTGGAAATAATTTCGATAAAATTTCCTCCCTTTCGGCTTGTTTGCTTTGAAGTTTAATTCTGATGAAAAATTTTTGATCGAGGTCGAGAATTAAGAGTTTCTTTTGCTCATTCTTGAATTCTTTTCTAACAATTCTCTCATTCTTCATTGTTAAGCTTTTGTTTACCATCACTGCTTAGCATCTGTAAGCAATATGTGGCACAGTTTTGAGTAGTAAAACTCGATGTTTCCTCCCTCCCTCTCTCCCTCTCCCTCCCCCTCTCTCTCTCTCTTTCTTCTTATCTCACTTTTCATCCTAACAAATATCATCATTTCAAATTCCCTTACATCTCTTATCTTTTCCATCAATTATAATCATTTTATTTCCATACTACTTCTACAGTATGATTTCAATCATCTTTCACTTCTTACTTTAAAATCGATTTTAATTAAACCTAAGCCATATTTCACAATCGTTTATCAGATATTTTGAGCGTTTTTTTGTGTTTATCTTATTGAATAATTTCATTTGATTATTTGAAATAGACGCAATTGATATGAGAATAATATTTTCAATAGATTGCTATCAATAACTGAAATAACTGATACTCTTTGGACTTAAGTAAACAATAAATTTTATCAAATTAATCAATCATAAACCGAATGATACTCGATTTTCAATTTATTTCACTCACAACGATACCATGCCAAAAAAAAAGGAAATTCTACCCTTCTTAACGATCGCTTTTTCTCTTTTTCTCACCAATTCATCTTTGCATACAAAGGAGTATTACGAAATGTGGTAAGTAATAAAGGTAAGTATCTGTAAACTGATATCATTAACATTTCATACCTTTCCGAACTAACAAAAACCCATAAAATAGCATTTTTTTGATCCGAAAGTTACGCATTCTATGAAGTTTGTTTATAATGAAAAAAAAAAAAAACAAAGAAACAGTTATCTTTGTTTCCTTTTTATGTTCCGTCCTAATGGCAAATCTAAAATAAACAAAGCCATACGATTTGGCAATCTTTTGGAGTGATTTAAAAAAGGGTAATAAGTCAATCAGATATCGTTTCGCTCCTTATCACTCTTCTCCATCCTAGCTATCCTGCCTTTTTTTCAGATAGTTTACATTTCATTGATTACATCAAATTTCTTTGTTCCACATTTGTTGTTATTGTTGGCATGCTTACCGCTCCTGTTGTAGTTCCGATTACGGATGGAGTTGCTTCGGTACTTTCATTAAACCAACCATTTTCTTCTTCTTCTATAATTTAAATAATAAAATCTTCAAAATTTTACTGAAAACTTTTTTAACGATGAAAAATTTATAGCAATGAATGAACTAAGGCTGAACGAAATTTTACAAAATTCTAAAATAGCAAAATTGTGACCTGTCTTGATGAAAGTTTGCACTGATGATGTATCGTTTGAGTAATAATGAGGTAAGGAAGCCATTCCACCTCTCCACATATTAAATGTTGTTTGCAAATTACCGTCACAAAGTTGCATTTCGCATCCAAATAATCGACATCCATCACCATTCATCTGCATCAATTTTGCATTTAGTGAAAGTTTTGAAAAAAAAATTTCAAATATTTTGAAGTGTTTACGAAAATGAATAGTCGAGAATTTGAAATTGCTTAATAAATATGCGAAAAAGTTTTGATAATAATCAAATGGAATAATAAAGAAATGTTGAAAACCTGATCTAAAAAGCGAATATAATCTGTAGCAATGCGTAATGTATGAATTTTACTCATTTTATCAGATGGTAACGATGGAACAATTCGTCGCAAAATAGCGAATGCATCGTTTAATTCTTTGGTTCGTTGTCGCTCACGACGATTAGCTGCGACACGTTGTTGTAATGCTTCCTCCGGATTATCACCCTATATATATATATATAATAATGGATGATAATGATAATGATAATAATGATAGCAATGAGATATCAGTATAAAGTATTTAAGAAGAAAAAAACTGTTAAAAGAACTAAAAAAATATAAAATAATTCAGAAATGGGATAAAATATTGTTGAAGATAAAACAAGCAATCAATCTTTCACAGAATATTTTCATTCAAGGAAGAAAATCTTGAAATTTTTTAATTTTATTTTTGAAGAATTTCAGAGATAACAATTTTAAGCAAATTCTACAAAGAGTTGAATTAAAAATATCTATCAAAATTATCAAACTTCCATGAACTCAATTTATCAATGCGAAGAATATGATTAATTTTTGAAATTTAGCAGTAAAATTCAACAGTAACTGAATAAATTTCACTAAAAACTAATGATCATCAAAGTGTCAACATGCAATGAAAATTTTCTGTTCAACAGGAAAAATCAACTTTTTGCATATATAAAAATTGTTGAAATTGTGACATTATCGAATTATTACATTTGCATTTTTTCAGATAATTACCGCAAAAATTAAGAGTAAATGAATTAATTGTATAAAATATAATGGCATTATGAAAAATTAGTATGATTAATGAATAATAGCAATGATAACTGCTTATTATAATGACAAAAACAATAAAACAAATTAAACTATTTCAAGAATGTTTACATAAAAATTGCATCATTCGTTCTTAGTAAACTAATCTTAGTAATGTATAGTGAGGAAAATTTCAGTGTTAATTTTAAAATATTGATGAAAACAAAAAAAAAAAAAGAAAGAAAGAGAAGAAAAGAAATACCTTACGCCTATTAGACCGTCTTCTGGTAACCATCTGGAGGGATAAACGATTAGTTTGCCCGGAGGATTTATCAAAACTCCGTGCACCGCCTCCATTATCTCCTCTCTTCTCATCTTTCTCATTTACCAATTTTCCACATATTAAAACATTACTGTCTTCCCTCTAACTTACCATCATCATCCCATATATCACTCAATCATTTGTTACGATGGTAAATGCACCGATACGGCAGCTAATATATGAATGTTTATTTTGATGTTGTTGTTGTTGTTGTTATTTTTCTTCTTCCTAACTCAACTACTTACTCTTACAAATTCAATTTTCATCATTTCATTTAATTTTTGTTCCAAATATCTTTTAATTATTATCTGAATGTAATTTTTTTCTAAGAAAAAAGAAATTTCAATTAGTAAGGAAAATGTTATCCAAACAAAAATGAAAATAAATCAAATTATACATAAATAAATAATCTTTAATGTATCAAAAATTTTTTCATGCAGTAAATTAAGATTTGAAATTATTTTTTGATGAAAATAAAATCCCATTTGATGCTAACAATTCTACCACGAATCCTTCGAACTTCTACTGCATCAGGTTATAATGTGCAAAAAAACCAAATATTTCGATTTTATTCACAACTGGTCAAGAAATTATAAGCATAACATCGAGATCAATGATTAGTTAGAATTAAATTTAAATAAATATCAGTCTTCGTCCAGTTTAAGCATATCACAAATTCACGACAGTACTACAGTGAATAAATAGACAAAACTACTTAAAATATAAAATTTGAATTTTGGAATGCTTGTATAAAAATAAAACTCCTGAAACAAAGAAGATGTCATAATTAGATGACATATTTGAAAAAACGACAGACGAGAAAATGTTAGATTTTAAAGCTGCATATTTGATGTTTATCGGTCCATAAATTAAAGTACATTTAAATAAATAATCAAAAAAAAAAATTATGCATCATTTTTTCTAAAAAATATATAGCCGGAAAAATTCTTTTTAAAAAATTTTTCAAACTTAATCAATGTATGAGTTAAATGAGCAAAAAATTTTGTGCAAGTAGATTATTTGTAAGAAAATACTATCTAATCCTTTCTTAATCAATGCATAAAAGTCTAAAGGTAAAGGTTAAATGAGTAATTGCCAATCTAGAAAGCAACTTTTTGCCATCATTTCTGCTTCTGTTTTGTATTTGAGAAGATCATTAATTACAAAACCGTTTTGTGCGCTATGTTCCTGTTGAATATGAGTAATTACAGCACTCTCATCGTGAAATGATTCGAACGAACACTGTGAACATCTTAAAAAATGAATAGTATAAGTGTGACAGGAAAATATAAGGGGAAGAGAATTAGATTCAAAAAAGAGAAAATTAACTGGAAATGAATTTTATTCGAACGAAGTGTAGAGTACATTCAACCACGAACTATTTAAGTGCTATTTCAATCATTTTATCACTTATTTTAAGCTGGTAAGACATAATTTCCTAATTTTTCACTCTTTTACTTTATTAGCCGAGAAAGTGGAAGAATGCAATCTTTAAACAAATTTCCAATATTGTTTGGTGCTTTTTAATATATTTTTGAACATTTCCATTAAATTATATTTACTGAATTTTATGGATTTCAATAACAAAAAATATAATCCAACCCCATTTTAGGCATTTATTTATTAGCTAAACAAAATTTCATACAACAATTTGAAAATATTACCTGAAAATAGCTTTTTTAAGATGTTTTTCCAGTAAATGAATCAATCGCCTCTTCTTACTAATTGTAGCGCCACACTGACGGCATTTCGCTCTTCGTCCTTCATCAGAAATTGTAATATTCGATAAACGTTTTGGTCGTCCCGGAAAACAACGATCATGCATTTCCGAAAAAGCTGCCCGATGCTCAACCACATTAGCTATTGGTTCGAGACCCTTCAAGTTTTTTTTTGAAGTTCATAAAATCTATCTTAGATTATTTACACTTGTTTATAATAGATTAGCAAGATATAAAAACACAATTTGCTATTAAATCCTTAAAAAATTTACAGCGAAATGTATAAGATTTTAAGAGAACAACAAGAATTCAAAAGTGTCAAACTTCTAAATAAAATTATAATTGTTATAACTTACTTTAACATCTTTTCTTCTGTGTCCATTTTTCATATGTCTTCGAACAAGGCGGCTTTCAGCAGCGCCATAATCACAAAGAGGACACTGATGAAGTGACATTTTCAAATGAACTTCAGCAATATGACGTGAAGTTTGACGTACTTCCACATCACAAACTCGGCATCTATTAAAATAGAGGGCTTACCTTACAGTGGATTAATATAAAATTGAAATTTTCGGAAGTTTCAAATAAATTTGAATTTCACAAACACGTTCATTCGTTGGATGTATGTTTGAAAATTAAAAAAACGAAAAAAAGAAAAGCAACAATGACCTATTAAAATTTTCCAGTGCAGAAGCAGGCAAACGACGATTAATCCAACCCGGAAAGCAACGCAAATTCCATACTGCTATTTCTTTTGAAAATTTCAACAAATTTGCTATTGGTGCTAAATCGGCATTGTCACGATGCGCATATCTTAAATTGAAATAAATTAAAAAATTTTTAAATTCCTAAAACATTAAATTGAAGTAATATAAAAAATTTAAACAAAGATCAGATCTTTCGCACATTTTATAAATTTTATATATTTTAATTCGACAAACTTAATATGTGCTTTAACGTCCGATGAACAGGCGTGATGAGAGAATTCACAAAGTGGACATTGATAAAGACGTGGTTCCTTCAGATGATGTCTGTACACATGAATCTGTAAGTTAAATGTGTAATCATTAAGTAAATTTGTAAATGACTAAAAAATATTGATTTTACAAAAAATTTTAAAAAATTTTGCAAATAAATTTAAAAATACAGTGCAAAATATCACTGTTTTGTTTTAAGATCAAAAAACATTTTTTTTAAAATGAAACTTAACTAACAATATCTAATTGTGAAATAATTAATTCTTTTTAGAACTTTAATACCTGTCGATCTTCAGTTTTCATTTCTTGACCACATTCGCGACACTGAACTTTAAGTCCTTCGCTAATCTTCCCATTTTGGTTCGCTTTCTTCTCTGACCATAAATTCTGAGACAAAAATTGACTGAGAATTTCAAGAGATTTTAAATTAGTTTAATTGAATGATAAATATTAAAAATTCTAGCAATTCTCGTCAATCTGTCATTTTTAGAGAATGGTCGATTAAAAATTAACTTTAAGTCTTCTTCCCGGAAAACATTGCTGGTACATTTTTTGTATTTCATCTGCATACTCTTCGATATTTGATATCGGTTCTTGCATACATCCACCGTGTAATTTTTGCATATGTGATCGTATTTCATAAGCATCTTGCCCTCTATGACCTTTGCATATCGGACACTGATAGAGGAAAATTTTGAGATGATCCTTCGCTACATGACGCAAAAAATTAGATGAAGGTTTGAATTCTTTTTTACAAAGCTGCAATCATTGTAATATTTCAAATTGTGCAATATCCATGTGAACATATAGTTCAAGTATTCAGTTTCAGATTTAATTCAATTTAACTCAATCTATATTGTTTATATAAAATAAAACTTTTAAAGAATGGAAGGATTAATATGAAAATATTCAATCGTTCGTATCATATAATTCTAGCACAAACACTTCATTTCTTTCCTTTTCAACATCACTTATAATAAAACAGATTGAAATGTAAACTACAGGACTTCCAACATTGGATAATTTCAAATCAAAATCACAAAGGTAAACAGTTACTTAAGAAGAGTTTTGCATTTTTGCAAAACAAAGCTAACCATGCATGTCCATTCATTCAATTTTTCACGAAATTCTTCCTTAATTACAGGTGATTTATCAATGATTTCTTCTGTTGATTTTTTTCCTTCCTCACCAACATCTGCTGCCACATTTTTCTTCAGCTGCAAATTACAATTATATATATATTAAAATTATATCAATAGTATTCAGATATTATTTCCAGTCTAACCTATGCGTTATAGTAGAAAAAGAGAAAGAGAAATGTATAAAATTCTTAGAATTTTATAAAAATTCTAACATTTTGCTTATCACTTTCTTCACCATCCAACCACCAAAATTGCTTCCGGCGATGTTGCCAACCCGGAAAACATCGTTCGTTTAATCGATCAATTTCTTCTCTGAAAATCCATCAAATATAATTTGCAAAAAAAGTGACTGTAAAATTAATTTCAATATTTCAAATGTTTTATTTCTTATCATAAAATTAATTTAACTAACTTGTAATCACTTTCATGAGAATAAGGCTCTCTGTTTGGATTATCTTTATGCATCCATTTAATGTGCCATTTCACACGATGTATATCGTAATTTGATGCAAACGAACAAAGTGGACATTCGAAAATACGTTGTTGCTTTAAATGGCGGTGATACACATGCCGTTGACGATCCGATTGCGCCACCTAAAGACTCTTTGAGTATTACACACAAAAGATATTAGCTATTTGATAAAATTTAAATTTAAAATTGAACAAAAATTCAATAATTTCTTATATATAAAATAATGAATAACTGAACGACTTTGTGTATTTCCGAGATATTTCAAAAATTACAACAGCTTCTCAAATATCTAAATCAAATTTTACCTGTATTTTACAAATTTGGCAAATGTGACGCTCTCGTGGGCGATTACCGATATGAGGCCGAACGAGCTTCATTGGTCGATTTGGGAAACATTTCTTCTGCAATATATTTTGCTCCTATCAATATCAATACATTGAATAGCAATATAATTACCGGAATAGGAAAACATCAGGTATTATTGCTTCCAATTGAAGCAGTTGAAAATTTTCGGATGAAATATGCATTGAAAATCCAAAATATTTGGGTAGAAATTTTTCCACTATAGGAAATGAATGATTTACCTGTAAATCGCGAATTTCTTGAGCATATCGATCCAAATTAGAAATGGGAATAGCATCGCAATGTTCCGGATGAATTTTGTTGATATGTTTAGTAACGGTACAACTTTCGTAACTTCCAAAATCTTGACAGATCGGACACTGATAAAGTGATTTCTTCAAATGTTTCTGAGCTATATGACGTCCCGGATAACGAGACTCTTCCCTGCAAGTAATTTTAAACGTAATTTTAATTTCCTTCACGCCTTACATTCTCGATTAATTTTAATCATAGAATGAATTTTCACTAATTTCAATTTATTTTACAAATTAAGAAAAAATTAAGAGTAAAATCCATTACCAACAAAGATGACACGTTCGATCATCCACAACAGCTGCAACAACTGACTGTCTCATCACGCATTGATTATCATTGCCCATATCAGAATTGCTTATTTCATCACAAGATGTATTTGTTGTAACACTTCCACAGCTAGCTGTTTTTAAATTTTTATCTTCCGGAGCAATTTTATTTTGCTAAAAAAATAATCAGTTTATTTGGAAGAGAGAAAAGTGAAATAAAAAAAATTTGAAAAACAAATACCAAAATATCATTTGATCAAAACTTAATAAAACCTCCAATATTTCTTGCTTTGACAAAGATGATTTCTTCAGTTTCCAATCTGGAAAACATTGTTGATTCCAATTCTGAAAAATCAAAATACTGCATTTGATTCAGTTGCATGAACGGTTAAAATTAAATTAAAAATTAACATCTAAAGTCTAAAAATAAATAAAAAATGGAAATAAAAAGTTAAAATCAAAACAAAACGCCATTAATTTAATTGGGAGAGAAGATTAATTAGCGTGCAGTACTAATTAAGGCTCGTCAACATTTATCAATTATAGCCCTATTATCGTTGCACAGAAATGACCAATGATTTGATTATAAAAGCACAACATCAATTCATTACAAGCGGGTCAGGAAATAAAATGAAACGGAAATAAAAATAGAAATTGGAAATGAATAACCTGTATTTCATTCTTATGAGCTCCCTCGTTACTGATAGGATATGCATTGCCTTGATGAATTGCAGTACAGTGTTTACGCATTTCCCAAACTGAATTATTATTTGTATAATCACAATCTGAACATTGAAAAAGATTGGAAATTCGAAGATGAAATTGATAAACGTGGCGTTGACGTGCTGTTGTACACACGTCCACGTGACAAACTTGACAATTTGATTTTCGAACAGCTTTCGAATCATTTGGAAGAGATATTGAATTCTGTAATTATTGGCTTTGATTAAACTGATTGCTAGAAGCTGTCGTTATTTCAGACAATTGAATTTTAAATATCTAAATTATAATAAGTAGTTTGATGAAGTGATAATACCACCCAAATGCTCATTCTATCTTCCCATTTTTCCATCCTTTCACACAAGTACTCACTTATATGAAAAGATATCTTCTGTGATAAGTTCGTCTCGATTAGCTTACTTTCGAAATAAAAGAAGCTATACCTTTCCAAGAAGTATGGCAAGGTTTTTTTTTTTTGCTTCTCTGAATGATCTAAATTGGAGAAATTTTTTAAATCCTCACAAAACTTGTAGATCGCTTTATTATTGGCTGAAGATCAATTTCTTGAGGATCGTCGCATTCTGAAGATTTCCGTTTTCGTAAATTCAGGCAAGCCTCATCATCATCATCATTATCTTGGATTACCTGGAAGAAATATTTGCAAATCTGTTTGTGCGATATTGGAAGAGGATATTTTTGAAACTTACAGATGATTGTTTTGTGGATTTCAATGTTGCTTCTGCAAAAGTGTCGTGAAGAAAGCCTTCGTTCACAATCTGCAAATGTTTTATTCGTTGCATTCGAAAATGAGCAGTATTTTGCAATTTTAGTTTCGCAATTAGGAAACTTCTTCAGTTTAGAAGAAGTTATGACTACGAGTTTAATTTTTACCAAAACTCCACTCCGTATGTTATACCCCGCCTGTCGCGGAATCTAACAGAGATCGTATCGTTTACAACCTGAAGATCAGAGGTAATATTATGATATTTTAGCAGTGTTAATCTTTGACAATCATTGAAATAAACAAAAAACAAAGAACCTCATTTTGATAAGTGATATTGGTAAGGAGCCAGAAATGGGTTTTGTTGGTGATATTAGGAGCGAGTAAGGCGCGAGCCACAAATTTCGCATGACATTCTATCAGATGTTCGTGAAGTTCGGGATTTGTTTGGAAACCTGACGTCACAATATCACCCGTTTGTTCCCGATCCATTTGTAAATCACAAAGAAGGCAGGGTAGGAGCATTCAGATATCACTAATTCACTGAAATCAAAATCAAAAATGTTAAAAGTGAAGAAATTATTAGTGTATAATTTATAGCACTCTATCATCCACTTAATTGCTGAGCTTAAAATAGTTTAATGAAGACCACTCTCATCTCCTATTTGTGCTTTTTTAAGCTTATCAAGTCGGATACCTTAAAGAATGAAAAATCTGAACGATACAATCTCATTCCTTTCCTCTCTCTCTCTCTCTCTCTCTCTCTCTCTCATTTTATATTGGAATAAATTGTTAGTAAAAGAAAGAATTGACAAGGACATCTGCTTGTAGGATTGGTTCGAAAAGAAATAGTTACATTTGCTAAAATGTTGTTAGCTTACGTTTTTGCACTAAACATGCATCGAATGCGTTATGTTGCTGATATGGTGTAGAGAAGGTAGTGCAGTCTAGCTAGCGTATAATGTTATTCTAGCAAGGCTAAGGCCCAAAACTAAGCCTAAGGCTAAAGCTATATAGGAGATGAGTGACTTAGTTAGTCGTATATGGACGAATTTAGTAAGGAGCAGAACATGAAGCAACTTCATGAGATGAATATTGCCAATGTCTCGTAAAAAAGCACACGGCAACGACAACACATCGATCTTCTGCCCATCTCCATGTTGTCTCACTTTTCATCCTCCTCCCATATATGTTATGTGTATATCTATCACATTATTCCAATAGCGCTCTCCTAGCAGTACATAGTAATCAACTATTTGTTTGTGCACCATTCGTTCATCAATTCATACTCTGTCAACCAAACTTCTATCATTTACCACTAAAATTGATGAAATCGTTTAAATTTCCTGTGAAAATTTTAACATACAGTTTTATTTTGTCACAATATTGATTGATCAGAGGCTAAATTTCAATTTTGAAATATTGAAATCATTTCAATATATTATAATTTACATGCAAAGATTATTTTCGTGATTAATAATTATTCAAAAATTAGCATAAAAAAACATCAATAAATAAGACAAATTATATAAGTTAAGTATTTTCATTAAAAAATTCCGTACATCTTTAACTTCCTGCTAAAAGTTTTTGCCTAATTATTTCATTTATTTCATCAACTTCAATTCGTCGATTACATTCATTAAGTACAGCTGTACGCAATTTAGTAATGTGTTTTTTCGTTCCACTTTTCTGTATTTTTACGACAAGTTTATCATTTTCACGTATAATCTTCTCAACAGTATGCAAAATTTTTTCTTTGTCGTGTATTCGCCATAAATTTTCCTTACTGATAATCTGAAAATAATAACAACAAATTTCTTTAAATTTAACAAAAATTTTCGTTTTACCTTTCTTCCATAGGAAATGCTTTAAAATTTTTTTAAAATACATTTCCGATGCATTTGCTCTGTGATGAGGAATTGTGACAATTCTACGAAAAACCAATCAATACCTCAGTCGGCGATTTGTCTAACTCTGCTTCTATATATCTTCGTAATAGATCAAAAGTTGTTAGCCTGGTTAATCGTTTAGTGTGAAAAAGATATACTGCTTCCACAAAATGGTTTATGAAAGGCGTTCTGAAAAAAAAGAAAAATAAAAAACAAGATGCGTACTGTCAGAAAATCTATAAAAGATTTTAAAAAAAAAAAGCCAATATCGATAGATCTATGAATAAATGAAATATCTTATTTGAAAATTTATTTAAAAACAAGCAAGCTTACTGTGTTGTAGGGAATTTTTTGTTGCAGTTACGACAAATCATTTGCAACAGATAGGTCCATTCGACTAATAGAGGTGCTATTGTAGCATCGTCAGATGCATTTAAAATCATTTCAACAAATATTGCGAGGGTTTTTTGATTCTAAAGGAAAAAATTCGTAGATGAAAATGAAATTCAAATAAACTTTGTCTTTAATAGTTATTGCTCTAAAATTAAAAATGTATTTTACTGTTTTTCTAATGCGAAAATTTTGAATTTAGTATCAGATAATTTGAATAAAAATTGTTACACACGTGAGAAATATGTACACAGTAATTTTATCAAAATGCATATTTTGGCCTCAGATTCTAATTTCATCCAAATATAGTCAAGAAGCAGAATCTTTATCTCCATTCATCTTGTCAGATCTTAACTGATTACATCTCTTTGAAATTAGAAATAACTTTTAGTATAGTTCATGTGAAAGATGAATAATAACTCACAGCAATTTGTAGTGCGACTTCCGGCTTCATGCCATATTCTTCAATGTTCTTCAAGTAACACGGTTTGGAAAGCATTGAACGACAACTCTCTACCCATTCTTGCTTAATATGAACAGGTGGAAGATTCGGTTCGGGTATAAAACGATAATCCGTTTCAATTTCCTTTTCTCTCATTGCTACTGTATAGCTGAAATGTACTGTCCATTTGAAACAAGCAATTTTTAAAAATCTTTTCATAGTTTCAAAATGATTTGCGGTAGAAAAAAAACAAAGATTATTTCCAATAGAGTTAAAAAAATGAAAACAACTGACCCAAAACGGTCAACAGTTCGTGTTTCATTCAATACTGTCCCTCCACCTCTTATGATTTCGTATTGTCGATCTATTTCATTGTTGACAGCTGTATGAACCATACGTAAGCTATTTAAATTTTTGATTTCAGTTCGAATACCTTTACCATCGGTGTTATTGTTGCAAAGTGAAATATTAACATCCACTCGAAACTGGCCTTCTTCAACAGATGATTATTCCTTTTAAGCAGTACTTATTAATTGCGAAATTTTTTGTTTAACTAATCGGCAAGAGAGACAAAGAGAAAGTTCTAATATGATAGAAATGCTAACTTTGCATTTCTCCTCCACACAGATCATTTTCCATGAGAGTCAAACGCAGTTGTTCAGTGAAACAGTAAGCTTCTAATGCGGAATTCATACTTGGCGAAGTTACTATTTCTAATAATCCAACTCCTGGAAAATAACTCTTCTGAAAATTCAGTTCAAACTTCGCAATGTTAAAAAAAACGAAGCACGAAAAAGAGTATCATTACCGGCTCGATTGAGATCGATCAGTGAGCGATTGTTGCTAAGATCATGAATTGAACGGCCACTGTCATGTTCCAGTTGAATTCTTATAATATCTACACGCTTTTTGTATGGCACAAATGACTATAACGAATATCATTTTTGCTACATGTAAAATAATAATTCAATCAAAAAACACTTACCTTATCATTAGAATGGACGTAGAATTCAAAGAAACCAGAGTGAGCAATAGGATGGTCTTGTTGAGTGATTTGATAGCCAGCTGGCATGTCTGCATAGAAATAATGTTTGCGTATAAACTGACATCTTTCTGGTATTGTACAATTTAGCAGCAAACCCGCCGTTATACCTTTCTAAAATAAACTTATATAAAATGCATTTGTTTGCATTTTATTAATGAAACTGACTCAATTTTATTTCGTTAATCTAGTTTCTATTTCAGCACTTCTCTTGTCCAAAAAACTCTTTAAATTATTCCGTGCAGTCTTAAAAGCAACTCTCGAACAACAAATAAGACACTAACCAATAAGGCAGTTTTATTGAGGACCGGAAGAGTACCAGGCATTGCCATATCAAACAGTGCAACAGATGAATTTGCATGGGCATCATCATCAAATGCTACCGCTGAGAATAATTTCGTTCTGAAAATTATACAAGTATGTAAGCCGCTATGGCAATTTTTATCATCAAAAAATCTAAGTGTCAGTTATTTTACCAGGTGCAACAGGAAAACAGTGTTACCTTTTTTGATTTCTATTAAGGACAAACATAAAAACTATTAAAAATTATTTAGAGCTATCATCTTTTGTTCCTTAGCAGCTCTGCTTCTGATTTATCCCCCTCTTGTTAATTAACCATATTTGTCTTATCTAAATTTTTACCACATTTGTTAGCTTTTAAACCTTCATCTTCTACAACATATTAGAATTTAAGGATTAAAAAAGTTAAAGTATAAATAAAAATCCACCATATCATGCCGTACTATGTAAGATGATCCTGATTTTTGACAATGACAAATACAATGATACAACCAAATTACAAGAATGGATAATACCTTCGAAATATTCATAATTTAATAAAAATAAATCCTATGTTAGCCTATATTAAGCTCAGCACCTTATTAAAAGAAAGAAAAATACTGGGAAACCTGATCATTATCTGAGCATGTATTTCCAAGCCAATGACTGGTAGATATTTCATTGTGGCTTCTCGAGGAACACAAAACAACTTATTCCACAGTCTCATCCGTACTATAAGATTACTACATTATCAGAACAATGCATTTCAGAGATCTATAATAGGTTTTGGACGATTCCTAATTTAATCCACAATAGTGAAGCACCTACCATGCAATAAGGTATATCGTCTTTTTTGCTACGTTTCTTGCTCATCCTCCGCTCTTATCTACTGATTAGAAAAGGTTACACCGAAAACAAGAGTCCCATGTTTTTAAAATATGGCAATTTCAACAATTAATTTTACGATGATCTGGCTCGCGACACCATAAAAGTTGATGATTAAGCATTTATAAAACGCGCAAAAATTTCTCGAAAAGAAAAGCATTTATTAAATTATTAACACAATAAATTAAATAAAAATGAAGATAATGACACCATTGAAGAACACATGTACCTTTAATACGAATATTTTCAAAATCGAGCAGTTTGTACAAGATGTAATTTCATAAAAAAATACTGATTTTAAGAAAGAATAAACACTTTCGTCAAAAGTAAGAAAGTTCACTTAGTAGTTATTAGAAATAGATGTTATAATGAGCTGAGGTAGTCGAATATTTCGGATGAATGAAAATGGAAATTCTTATGAAAAATAAACAGCTCACTCCAATACAGTCATATTCGAATTTCTGCCACAAATTAGCTAGCATCAATCATTAAAAACAAAGCATTCAGCAAATGCTTCAGCTAGCTCGTCGCCAATTCCCAAATTTCCGGCAGAATCCGATTTCTTTTCATTCGCTTTTGTCTTCCGAATTGGAACATCAAATTTCAAGAATGGATCATCCATTTCAGGCCTAGCAAGCTTGCCAGATTTTTTCAGAACGCATGCTTTCTGAAACTAAAAGAGTTTTTCGATGATAGAGCAAATTCAAAAGTTGCATGAAAGTTTTTAATTAAATATTACTTTGTATGCAGGTTCTATAGGAGGCTGCACAACTGGCCTATATTGGTATCTTTCCCGCTCAGCTTCACACGAAAAATTCGGTAATTCCAACTCGTATGTCCGGTCTGAATCCCAACCGGACAAATCACCGCAGGCAAGAAAAGGAACTAGCAGACGATTAGGGCCCAAAAGACTGTTCACTTCGCCATCTGAAATCACTGTTTGTATTACAGGCTATAATTATAAAATTAGAGAAAATGCAGAAACTTTAAAAAACATCAAAAACTGGGAAAATTATAAAGATTACTCCCAATTACCATAGTCTGGACACAACATTGGATTTTTCATCGTTGGTGTATATCCCTTCGGTAAGCTGAATCCTTTACAAACAACAAATGCTTCTGAAATTAAAAACAAAATTTCATTTTGATTTGTAATGCATTTTTATGAAATGTGCTTCAGTTTTGGAAAGATAAAACAATGAATAAAAAATTAATTTTTCTCACCACAACTGCTTTGTCGGCTACTACGTGGTTTCGCACAATAGACCTCTTTGAAGAATATTTTCAGCTGAGCATATAACAGTGTGATATCACGCGCACGAAACACCTAAATTCAAAATTCTACATCTAACAATTTACAAAACTTGACTATTAGATTTCAAAACAATACTGACTTCAGCACAAAATGCTCGAACATTTTAAATGTTCAAAAGCATACAAAATCAAAAATTAAAATTGAAAAAAATGTTAAATATCTTAAAATTTAAATATCAAAAAAATAAACCTTAGCCACAAAGATTCCCGTTTCTTTTAATACAAATGTTGCAATATTCAGTGCCTAAAACAAGTCCATAGTTTAAAAGTTGATAAACACATTAAGTCTCGAAAAAATTCCCGAGAAATTTTATGGCATGTGATAACTATAAGTCGTTATGTATATCAAATTTACAGATTGGTACTTACTGCTAAGACAAGTTGACTTTGCATGTATTCGTCTAGCGCGTGCAGACCGGTTACTGAAACAATCAAAGAACTTACTATATTAAGAAAGAAACTAGAAATAATTTCAAGCTTACAAGAAATCAAAAATTAAATGTTACCATCGGGAGCACCATCGCAAACAACCAAATCAGCTTTCATTCCTTCAAAGTAAGAGATAATTTTCTCGGCCGTAGAAATCTATAAGCTTATAAATCTTAATTTTAAAATTTTCAATAATTTTCAGGAAAAAATATGCAAGGAAAAATATGTAATTTTCAGGAAAAAATAAGTAAGGAAAGAGAGTCTGTGCAAAAAAAACAACCTCTGTTATATCGCCTTGCAGTTGGATTACACCAGGCACTGGTGACATCGGTTGCAAATCGACAGCAACTATGCGCACCTGTAGTTTTAAACATATATATAAATGAAATAAAAATCATATCTGATCAGTAAATAAAAATTTATGTTTTTTAGAATGTTCGAAAAAAAACATGCATGAACTGTAGGACTCACATCTTTCCGTTTTTCTTCATCCTCGGCGAAATACACTTTTTTTGATAAAACTTGACTCCAACTACCAGGTGCAGCACATAGATCAACAACTCGATGAACACCTAAAAGTCTTCAAGAAAACAGATACTTCTGTGTGATATCAAAGGAAGCATTACACAAGATTTGAAGTTTTGAATCCATTGGCTAACTCTGTTTACCTAAGAAAATGCATAATACACAATAAATTTTACTTTCTTTAGGTTCTTCTCAAGAACTCAAAATCTGGTCATAAAGGTAACTCATTCGATTTTCAAATCATTAAATTTAATTCGACATTTAATCTGTTTTATAAAACTCCGATCTATGATTCTGATAGTTTAGTGGGGAACATTTCACTACACTTAGCTTAAAAACGCATCTCTTTACTACACATTATGCGAACTAACCAACCTTTCTCTACACAACTCCGAAATGGATGAAATAACTTCCAGAATAGATTCGATGTTATTATTGTACAGGAAATTAGCTATATTTTAAATTACAATATGTTAGTACTAGCAGAGCCTCTCTATCAAACAAGCCTTACTCATTTTGCATCTGAAAATTTGCATTATCAAAACCCATACCTTCAAATATATTAAATTCATCGTCGATCTGCATTAACTTAAATGCACTTCTTGCTCGCCATCCTTCTTCTTTTGCTAACCGATAATATATATCTCGCTTATCTTTAGATGTTTTTCCCATGCCTGTAAGAAATGATTCTTATATAATAGAATTCCATATACATATTTCCACATCCTTTTTGCTGCATAATTTTTTTAAGGGCTTAATTTTTTGAAACTCATACATTTCGACATTAGATAGATGGATATTTCATATCCATCTATATATGGTAAAAAGAAGTTCAATGTTTAAAACATATAAAAACATTTGTAATTTTTGATGGTAAATTCATCGGCAAAAACTCCTCATGTGAAATTTAATAAAAATTATGATCATGATTATACGATTATCAAATGTCAAGCACAAATACATGTGGAATAAGTAATCGGACGTGACCAAGTCAACCCACCTAATAAACCACGACATTATTGCCGCAAACAAAAAGCTCCAGCTCAATCAAATGGCCGAGCCGTTCATCCCAGTACTTTCAGGATGTGGTCATTCCGTGACCTTTTTCCAGTTCTGTTCGTGGAGGGGCGGTAAAGGTCGATGGTGTCTGTTTCTGCTTAGAATTAAAATTTGAATTGAATAAAATGCTCATTTTTTTCGCATAAATCGATGTCTGACATCTGCTTATAAATATTGTGGTAATTTTTGCTAATATAAAAGTGAGAATTTTCTCATTCTTAGCAATTAGATGTTTGACTCGTTAGTCTCATAAACTCAGACTTTGGTAAATACAACGCAAGTTTTGTCTATCAAAATAGTCCATTTTTGAGGACATTTTCATTTTCTACATTTATTACTTAAATATTTAAGTAAGCAAAACGTTATACTTATTAAAGGTATGAGAATAAATTGAAATCATTTCCTCCTACAATTCCTCTAATCATCCAATTTACTGATTTACTGAGTATAAATTCTTTCGATTTCATATATCCTAGCAATGAACTGTCAGGACATCCAACATTTCTTTAGCAATCTATGCAAACAATGCATATTCTGTTAAGATTTTTGAAGTCTTCATTTCGGATACTCTTGAAAAATATAAATGAAATTCAAGACATATTACAGATTTGATTATCTTTCCAAATAGCACTTAATGTGATAAATTAGAAAATAAATCCAATGATGGTTGGTGCTCCGACTAGTCCTTAAATTAGGAAAACATCGATTTGGTCCCTCGGCGCAATGATTTCCCTTTAACTTTACAATGCTGATCATTTATGCACTCCACAAATGATTCCTAATTTGTCAATCAGAAATTGAACGGTTGATGGAAATTACAGATGGCTATGTTTTGTTGTGCTTTGATCAGTGGAATGAATATATTTTCGGATTCGAACATTCTTGATGAATTCAAAAAAGGAGGCCACCACATTTGCCTTTTTCGTAATTTTTTGAATTTTGAGGACGTAAAAACCACTGCAACAATTCTCTATTTCCTGTTTTTTGAATGTTTTGATAATTCGTTGAATGATCTTTTGCATTTTTTGTTGATTACAAATGCATTATGAAGCAATGGTTTTGAAATTTTTGTAAAATCCCCAATTGAGCGCTTCTGAAGGAAAATTCTAAGCCGATGTTTTCTTTACCAGCAAACTTTTATATTATAGAAGGTTAAGTTTTCACTTCTTTATATACATATATAAACTTTACATGGAAACATGATGGCATTTAATCCTCGCCAATGCCGCTCCTCGAGAAGGTTCCCATCGATACTTCACCAATTCGCTTATTCGTATAAATTTACAGAATCATTAAAAGATTTCACAGATAGGGAGAATTAGAAAAAGGAGGAAGATAAGTTGTGGCAAAGAAAATCAATCAGTGAATGTCTACATTGAATTCATGCCTAAATTATCTTATAATGAAAATTTGTATGGATTTTAGCTGTCAATAATATGCAAATTGAATCATTAATGATTGCGATGACTTACTTAAAGCTGATAGCATTTCGCCTAATTTTCCAAATATTTCCATGTTATGCCCAACTTTTGCATTCATTGCAATTTTTAACCCTTTTTGAAATTCGTTATATTGTCATTCTTGAATGCATTGATGTACTACTAATCCACTCGCATCAAAGCCGTGTCATTAAAGTAAATTTATTTTGCAGACTTTATTCTTCTGGTTAATAAGCATATTATTGTTAGCTGGTCTGTTCAATTGCATGTTTTGACAGCCTTGCAGTTGTTAAATTTATTTCCACCTTTGGTAGTTTATTGATATTTTGCTTAAACGTTGCTCGATAATTTCAATAAACTATTAAAGCATGAATTTTAGAAGGTTAAAATGCATTATGACTCTATAAGCTATCATTGCAAAATCTCCTAAATTCGGGAAAATTTCCGATTTTGCAATAAAACAAATATAAGCAAAACGTTAAGAACAATGTGCACGACCCTTCCAAGCAAATCCAACTTCAAACATGATATTTTGCTACTCATGAAATCATAAGCGATTAATGTTATACGAATATAAAATACCGAACAAGCTTACTCCACAACAATTCTCTTCTACGAGTTGTAAAAATGAACAGTTTTTACATGATATCGTCACCAGCATCGAATGATCGGTAATATTTACCAGTAAGCTGGTACTTTAGATAGCAACCATATCCACGATATCATCCAAATTATGCCTCCATCATCAAATCGGAAAATAGAAAATACAAGAAAAAATGTGCCAATGCTATTTTTTTGGCAATGAAAAGAATGTAACACGAGCAATTAATTTTTATCAGATAAAATTTAAGTAAACGATTAAAGTAGGCGACAGGAAGCTGCTTGAAAGCAATAAAAAGATTATTAAAGAGCTAACTATGCCGTTATCAGATATATAGAAGGAAAAATGCATGTCTCCGCTAAAGTATCCAATGATTTTTATGATTTTTTGCATTTTGTTTTGTGTGCTGATTGAACTTTCTGGAGATGAGTGGCATAGTGCTGCAAGAACAATAAAAGGCGCTTTTTAATAAAAACAATAACAAGATAAAAAGATACAATGGCAATCATACGTAAAGCAAATGAATAATTTGCTTCCAAAGTGCTTCATAAAAAGAATTGAAAGTACACTGTAAGTCACACAATCAAACATTTCATGCGAAAATTATAATTTTATACAAGTTATAGAAGTTAATTTTATATAAGTCGAGGTATAGCACAATGGGTGGTTCCTTACGAAATGTCTTATTGAACTCTATTTAATAAGTTAGTTTTCTTAGATAATTTGCCATGATAAAAAAAGACTTTCAGTATGCTTTCAAAACTCGATTTGATTTCAAAATTCCACCCACAATTGATAAATACTTGAGCAATAGCATTTATGGCTGAACAAAATTCAAGAATCGAAATCTGGATTGATATTCATATGAAGTGATGAAAGTGATGAAAAAAGCTTTTATCCAAAAAGCCAGTTTGAAAAGTAGCGTGGGGAACTTATCAAAAAGTAGATTGGTGGTGAGCACAGAAACGGCAGCATATAACTGCTCAGGCTTAAAGAATTATCCTTTAAAAAAGTCCATAATGTACAAAAAGTGAAACTTCAAATATGGATAAAAAGTGTAAGTGAGCGATGAATATACTTGCTATACAAATCTTTTATAATTGGATTTTTGTCTATTTAAAGGAAAATGAAATTGTAAAAACACATAAATTCGTGAAATCACTGCGAATCGCTGAAGCAGACATAACTTTGAAAAAGAATAACAAGATATCCTTGCCCAGACCAAAAATGTAGTTCAAAAATTAAATACCCTCTAAGATGAGATATAATGTGCCTTTCACCCAACAGATTGTGATCTACTTAAACTTTGAAAATCCACTACTTTTAGGTTCTCTAGGCAATATTTTCAGGACATCAATTGGTAATACATCATGATTGATGGCTGAGAAAAATGAATTTAACAATGTAATCGTGAACCATTTTGGGTCTCCAATGGTTGCAACTGATATTCTAAGTCGACCAAAACTCACAGTAATTTTCAACAGTGTATCAAGAAGGATAAATCTCAGTTCGCTAGAATACTACAGAAAAAATAACATCTTCAAATATCACCAGCTAATAAACCCGTCTACAGCCATACTAAAATGTCAACAACATTCTAATTACAATATACAAATAAATATGTGAAAAGAAATCATGTCATCATATCAATTTATTATTTTGTTTTCAACCTCAATCTTCTAAATTCATAAAACTTTTTAGTTTACGGAAATAAAAAGGTTCAAGGCTTGTAAAATATTTCAAAGATTATTAAATTTTACAACTCATATGAAAATGAGTTTTAAGATTTAATTTTGCTATAATGATATGAAGAAATTGTGAAATAATAACTATTCACAGCAACTCAAACAAATGGCTGTAACGAAAAATTACAAAGACATGCAAATCATTTAAAGGCAAGAAGCAAAGAATGAACAACATAATTTTTTTTTGAGATCACACAGCAAGTCACATATATGTTAATGAGCTATAAGCATAATTAAGATTCGATAAAGAAAAGATCCATTTCGAGCAGTTCTCCCATTTATTTTTTATATTAGCAAAAACACATATTTCAATTCCTCCTTCGGATCATTTGTCTTTACCTATCCATATCAATATATGACGATTTTTTTTCCAAATTTTCAAAACTAAATACTCCCCTTTTTAAACAATTTAAATGAATCATACCTGTGATTCCAGATGATGAACACTTACATACGCATTGTGTATGCAAGCAACTTATATCTGCTACATAATTCTCCGTACATTTTCTTTTCCTCATACTCCCAACTATGCTGCACATATATCATTATAAACAACAGATACATACATCATACATGGAATGCATGTTACACTCAGCAATTCTACATTAAGTTCATCCGATCATAAATTAATGCATAAATAATGAGACTAGAAGAATGCAGGAGCTATAAGTGCAGTGATTTAATAAGCGATTTACATTCTCAATCATAGAAGTAAATAACACTAAATGGTACTAGTTCTCTTTTAAGTAACAAATAATTTCATAACAAAACTGATCAGCTTTGAATAAATTTTCAGACTTATATGCAATAATCTAAAAATCCTCGATG